TTTTTTTTCTCCTGCTCATGCATAATTGGCGAGTAAGTTTGGGAGTGGGTTGACGGGAAGCCCGAGTCAGAGCGGTCGGTTCCTTGGCGATTCGGGGAACCGCTGTTAACGCGGGACAGCGTCGTCGTCGTCGTCAGGGATGCCCCAGTAAACAGCAGCAGCAGCAGCAGCAGAATGAACAGCCCACAGCGTGCTAAAAATCAGCGAACCGGTCACCGTGCCAAAAGAGCGTGTGCCGCGATGGGGCCGGAGTTTTCCGACACTTCCGCCCTGTCCGTCGCGTCCGCCAAATGCGAGTCCCTCAAGGGGTTCGTGTGCCAAGTTCGAGCCGGGCTTTGGAGACCAGGCTTCATCGATCAACGACTCGGTGCATTATTTTCTGCATCCTTTCCTCCCGTTTTTATTTTCACTTCATTTAAAATTTTTAATTTTTGGTAGCCAAGCTGGCCTCCACACATTCATTTCTTCAAGTATGAAAATTATACTCGACAGTGGTGTTTATTCAGCAATGGTATGGGGAACGTGGAACATAGAAATGTGCCGAAATTTAGACGAAGGGCCAATTTTTGGGGATTATCCGGATAACGGTCGCTTCGCATGATGATTATTTAATTCAATGCTCTCATGCTGATGCATGCCACCGATTTTTGTTTCGCATTGTGAGCATATTACCGTATTACTCGGGATCATAGTCCTCAAAGAAAATCAATCACTGAACATATTTTCTTCCGCGTACCTTAATTTACCAGCAAAAAAGCATTCATTGTTTTCAACGTTTTAAGTTAATATTTTGTGATTTTTTAAAATAAAATGAAAACTTTGGCATTTGCAGTTTAAAATGTGTTCGAGGGTTTAATAAAGTTGAAAACGCGGAGTTAATTGTCAGGAATCTCAGGATTAAAATAATTTAATTCGAATACAAGCCAAACATGTTAATTGGAGCTTTTCGTAACTGAACATACGTAATGAAAATTCGGTTTCCTATTTTGTTTAGTGTAACAAAATTTACCAGAAAAAAGACATTTTTCGTAACAAGTTTAAAAAAAAAATTGTGATTTTTTTTGAGCCGTTTCGAAACGGAAAACATCGGGGTTTTTATAAACTTAAGTTCTTTCAACTTTTGAACCTCAATTAACAGTCCTAATGACGTTAAATTAGGCTTACTTTCGGTGTGCATACAATTTTGTAGCTCTTCGTAACAGAGCATCTTGAATTAAGATTGTGTTTCCTATTTTGCATAACGTGCTTTCAAAATATCCAAATAATAAAAAGGAGGGTTTGAAGAAAACAAGTCCTTTTGGTTTTTACAGAAAACGAGATCAGTATGAAAGATGTTTTCGGATCTCGACCAAAAAGTGAGCTAAGATATTTCCAAAAGTCTGCTTTCAATTTACAAAAAGAAAAACCTTGACCCAAAATCTAATGATTTCTTTTTTTTCCCCCGACCTTTGAAGAAGATCGATGTGAAAAACAAGGGAAACCGGGTTGGCATTTTTATTCGGGAACTTGCTACGGATTTTTCGGCCTGGGACGACATCAAATGTCGGAGAACGTCGTTGACGTCGGACGTGTCAAGACTGATGTTGTCGGCGAATTGAACGACGACGAACAACTTCCGTGGGATTTAGCACAAGCAAAGTGCCGGGACTTTGGATCTGAACTCGTCGTGATTATGGATGAAAACACCAATGAATTCTTGTTGCACCGCGGACAGGTAAGATTGTATCAAATTTTCGCATGCAATTCATATCAAAGGAATGCACAAAGCGGATTCAGAAAAGCAAGCGGATCATACAATATGTTTGAGACAAATTTTGAATGTTTATAAATGACGTGCCACAACAAAATCACAGTTGGGCCCCGAATTGCAAATAACATGCAGAAATAAAATCCATATACAAGGAAATTTACACAGTTGAACCTTGCCAAGTAAAACCTCTCTAAGTAAAATACCTCCCTATTAGTCAATTTTTTAGTCCCTGTCTGAATTCCTTTAAAATAATGCATTAAAAACCTCCCTAACTCAAAGGCTTTTTCTCTGAAATCTTCATAAGTCAAATTTTTTAGGCCTTTAGGTTATTATTGTATTGGAACACCTTTCTTCTTTGTTATTTTTACCTTAAACTACACGAAACTGTCTTACACTGTCTGATTTAATCCGTTTACTTGGGGAAAGAGGTTCAACTCACGAGACAGTTAAGGAAAATCTTTGTTAAACTCCGCCAGAATATCACAATGTACTGCACAATTCAGTTCAATTCTTCAATGTTTCCCACAATAAAAATGCTTGATTATATAAGTGAAACATATGCAATCCAATGAAACTCAAAACCTTTCAAAGTGAAAATTTTTTTATGGTCCCTTAAAATTTGACTTATAGAGGTTCAACTGTAAATAAAATGAACAAATGATTCACTGAAAATTTGAAATGCGCACCAAAATTTACCAGCCAAAAATTTATGAATTTTGAAGAGATTCAATTTTACAATTTGAAATTATTTAAAATGGCAAACAATGAATGAAGACAAAGTTTTGTACTGTAGTTTCTAGCCCAGAAAAAGCTTGCATTTGAGAAATCATAGAGCTTGATATTGTCAGGGTCACTTCAATTTAAGCATAATAATTTTTAAACCAATATTTTATGCTCAGTTGAGACCTCTTATACACACCAGGTGTAAATGTCCATTATTGATCATGCTCTGTAACTATCTGGAATGGCTTGAACATTTTACTGTTATGATTGAAGAGACATCGCTGTCAGTATGTGAAAGTTTTGGCATGTGTTGGGGAACCAGAATTTGGGCTCAGGGACATCAAGTCCTGGGACCTGAATCCTGGTCCTGGAACTTTTCTTCTGTACATCTTGTTCTCTGGATGCACAACTTCTTTGATACACATTTCTCCCACCAATCACAAGCAAGGGAAAATGTCCAATGCTTTGGCCAGGTCTGCTGACAAAAGCATTGTGCTGAATTGTATAAAAACCCCTTATTTTTCCTTCCCAATAATCAGTCCTGTAATTTAGCTTTTACTGTAAACTTCCCTCAAACAATGCAACCCAATTATTTTGATTGAATTATTGCACCCTAAATTTGTGTGCGCAAATTTATTATATGTATTGAATGTGGTTTGAATTATTGTACTTATTGTGATGCATTATTTGTGCATTGTGCTTCATTGTGACTTATTGTAGGCTGTGATTAAATCAGACAAAACTTGGAATATGTAATCAAGGCATACCGTAAATTACATAATCCCAGCCACAAACTAGCTAATTGCCCTGCCTATGATTCCTTACCATTTCTTCCACTGCGTTACGGTTCAATTCTTCATGTTGGGCTGATTCATTCCTCAACAGCTTGAAAAAATCCAGCTGGAAAAGATTTTTTTCATTATGCAATGACCTATTAATTTACTTTGCATGTGTAAAAGTGGGTGACATTTTTTAAGATCGCTTTTTCTCAAATGAAAGTGGTACTGATAGACCAATGCGAGTAAAACTTTAAAATTCGGCGTGTGCCAAAATTTCGCTTTGAGGCAACCGCCGCCCCCCCCCCCCGCAGTTTCCGGCTAGAAAACTCGTTTCAAAAAAATTGGGCATAAAAAAAAACTTATTTTTCATAGCTCATATATACTGTTCCTCGGTAATTTGAAGATCGTTGGGGAGAATTATTACAATTTTTGATGATTCACAAGCCCAGAAAATTCGACGAAAAAATATGTCACATTGTGACGCAGCAAATGAATCAATGGTGGAATGAAATGGATTCTGCTAGAAATATGGACTCATTTGTCAGCATTCAATAAATATGCGGCATATCCACGAAATGACTCCTCGTCTCAATACAGCTTACTCATTGTTTCATGAGTAGCTTCAGATTTATTTAATATTCCTACAACGCTCAAAGACTATACGCGCTTTGTTTCTCGGAAATCAAAATGAAATCGATGAACGCGTGTAAGTTCCAGAAAAACAAACCCAATGAATTACTGCCGGTCACTTTTACATCACAAAAGACATTTTGCAATCTTTCGACCGGGAAGGATGAGTTGATATTTCTTCCCATACCCTTTTTTTAAACTATTTTTATGCAAAATCGCCGCATTTTCTTTTACCCGACGCTCCCCTCTACTCTTCACGTCATTCGGTGACTTCGCATTAAAAAAGCCAGTGAGACAAACAAATCTTCGGGGTTCAGTCTGAGTTTCACTTGCTGTCGTGAAACTGAGAACATATGTCCTGAGAGCATCTAGAAAAAAGAGAAAAAAACGTGATAGAGTGCGACTTCCGGGTTAGTGCGACAGAAAAGTTTTCAAGTGCGATTTTTGAGAGAAGGTGTGCATCATCATGAAGTTGGAGAAAGCTTTCTTTGTTGCTGTCATCGTAATCTTGGGGGTCGTGGTTTTCACGGGAAATACTTCGGGATCCGGTGAGTTTATACAGAGGACTGCAATTTTCGGTTTGTTTTACAAATGAACTTTCGGCAACACTGTTGGTACAAAATCTCAATTATTTATGCCATTTTTTCATGAGTAGCTTCACATTGGTCACGAATTCACGATCAGATGATTGTCCAGTCCAGATATGAACGATTCGAGAGGTCTGATAAAGAGAACTTCTCTGAAGGATGAAGACAAATTTTGACAATGACCTGAAGTGATATTGCATTTCCAACTTTCCGAAGAATTTCAAAAAGGAACGCATTTCCCAGATATGCCCTCTTTTCTGGGGAAGTCCGTGATTTTCGGTTGTTCGCTTCTCGTTCTTCTCTGATGAGTTGACTAAATTTCAATTATTTATGCTGTTCTCTGTGTGCTTTCTGATGATGCTGATAATAGTGCTCATTTAAAAGTGTTAATGGATTTAATCTAAAATGCAGTTTTGAAGGGAATGACGTTGCTTAAATCAAAGTTGACTAATTTTTGTGCTGAGAAACAAACAAGTCGTATCCATTTTCAAATAAAGATTTTTCGCGTTTTCAAAGTGTCACCTTTCTAAATCAACTGCTGAGGAGTTTTTTAATAATACTCGATTGTTACACCATCCCAATATTCGTCAATATATCGAGCAGGAATAATTAAGGATGCTAAAATTGTGAGTATTAAATTATATCATGGTTTTGCTTAATTGATTTCGAATCACTTCATTGATTCGAGTACTAGCTGTCGTACGTTGACCAGGAGCAATCAAATACTACAGTATTGTACTTTACCAAAACGGACACGACGTTAATTTTTTTTAACGAGACACACAGCGACTTTTAGACAATTAAAAATATTCCAATAATTTCTTACTTTCAAGCGTGAATATGACAATTGCAAAGGTTAGTTCCAGAATTTTTGCTAAACCGATGTAAACATGGGTCATAGGACAGCTTCTTTTACAAATATCAACTAACTTTTCTCGAAAATATTTGTCTACTGGTAAAAAAAAATCAGAAAGAAGCTCTGCATCGTTACCGAAACATACGAATGTTTTGGACCTGAGGCCGTTCAAAAGGCAACTGACATCATTGAGGAACTCCGACGAACAAAAGGAGAAAAGAGCCACCAGGCTGTTGTCAATGCCATTCTTGTTTTCAAGAGGATTGGCAACACTGGGACAACTCGTCAGAGGCGCCGTTGGCAATTTGAAAATGCCTGTGCAACTCGAAGGCCCAGCTTCGGGAATCCGCGACGTTTGTGAGCAATAAAATTGTTGAAGGAATAAAAATAAAATTACGAAGAGTTTTTTTTGTGGCAAACTATTTCAGTGCAAGGAAAAACAGGTGCAGCTGCCAGATTTTTGTTGAGAGACGTGCTCTTGAAAGTGCTCTGGAAACAGACTCAGGATGACGTTCACTCAAAAATTTTCGGAGGCTCCGACGCTGTTCCAGGTGAGAAATGCAGCAATTAAATTCAGAAGGAGCTCCGCAAAATTCAAATGCAATTTTTACTTTTCCTATTATTGATAAAAATCAATTTTGAGTGGATTCATGAAACATTACATGCATATTTTACTCAAAGTTCTTATAAGATAAATGTGATGTCGGCTACCAGGTCGAGGGTTTACAAAAAAAGGCCGAAATAAATTTTTGAGAAAATCCTCCCGAAAGTAAAAAAAATATCAAAACAAGATCTGCGGTTTTTTTTCTATCCAAAGATTGCGTTTTTCAATGGGGTGTTAGAACGACTTGCTTTCAATTAAAGAATGGAGGTAAGTTTTGTGCATGCAAAAATTCAGAGAATCCATGCAAATTTTCTATTCAATTCCAGAACAGCTTCCATGGCAAATAAGCGTTCAGTTTTATGGCGTGGTTCATTTTTGCGGAGGAACGATTTTGCGCAAAAATATCGCCTTGACTGCTGGTCACTGCATTGAAGGTTTCCAGGCCTGGGAACTCGCGGTAGGTTTATTTCATTTAAAATAAAAGCTGTTTACATTTTCTTCAACTGATACATGTGTATGAAATCATCTTGAAAATTAAATAATTTTTGCAGGCAGTCGCAGGAATAACGGATAGATCTTCATCGGCGAGTTCAATGCAAGTCCGCCGCGTAGAACGAATGGAAGCTCATCCAAAATACAATCCGTGAGTAATGTTTAGGATTTTTTTTGCGCCAAGGGAGCAAAAAAATGAATTATTCACTGAAATGCTTTTCGTATTAGTGTTAATGCTTTGAACGACTTGGGAATCATTCTTTTGGAAACTGACTTCGACTTCAACTCATTTGTGCAACATATTCCTCTACCGAAAGAAACCACGATTGTCAAACCTGGTGAGTTATAATTGAGACTAATTTTGTCTCCGTGGATTTATTTGTGTTTTTCTTTCTGTACTGCATTTTCATATTGGTTCTTGCCAAAATATCCAGAGATTTCTCTTAATTTATGCCAAGAAAGTGGATCCATGCAGTTAAGTGATTTAGACGATTTACTTTTATCCATATTAATTTGAACCCCGAAGTAATGTAATTTTATGAAGCGTGCCTACTTTTGAACATAACCCAGGAAGAATTAGAAAAATAATTTATGCTACTGTATAAAGCTCATATTCAAATTGAGAAAAAAGCAACTGACCTTTGTTTCGCCCCTTGTACTTTTGCCAAAACATGAATTAGATGCAGAGTTGCAAAATAGAGCAATAATACTGTCTTTACTAAATTTATATTGAATATTTTATTTTAAAAATGTATTAAAACGTAATGACTGCTGTAAACAAATTTTTGCATCACACCTGCCTGCAATCGATTAAATCAAGTTTTTCTGACATTCTCAGATGATTTATTTTCTGCTGGGGATTTTCCCAACTTTAAAATAAATAACTTTGCCCAGATATAGAGGAATAACTGAGACTACAAGCAATTATGCAGTTTGCTGGGTGTTATAGCTTATAGGTGATTCAGGGTTACTTTCACAGGGAAGTAAAAAAGTCTGTACCTCTCCAATGTTTGTAAAAGAGACTCATGCATTTTTTATGTTCAGCACTCAACAGGTAAACTTCAATCAAAATAAAACTTGTGCACAGTTTTTGAGTAAAATCAAGATTTAAATCAGGTAAAATAAACACAAAACTAAGCAAAACAAAAAGCTGCACGCATGGCATAATCTTGATTTGCAAAATACCAAAGCTTATAACTCTGCAAAAAAATGAAGATAAAAAATTGTTTGACCTCTTAAAAGTTGTATTGCAATGTACCCCATCTCTTTTATCTCAACATAAAATTTCATGCAATGCGCGTTTCTTATTGAAAATGCGTTTCCAAAAAATAACTTTTCAGGTCACAAAAGGCTTCAAAATGCGCATGGTGCAACCAAACCCTTTCTTTGTGCAACCTGTACATGGCAAAACAAAACAAAAAATAATAAGGCTGTGCCTTCTTTCCAAAAGTATTCTTTGCTTTTGTGGGGCATCCTGTGCTTGAAGTAAAAAAGACACAAGATTAAAAACATTCAATTCTTTTCATTCTTTGAGCCAGCTAAACAGAAGATTAAATTTAAATAAAAAACCTTCTAAATTTATCTTCCACAACAATTATTGTTTGAAAAACTGAGTGACCTTCAAAAATTAACTTCAATCAGGCATTCCATCAGTTTCATCTCTTCATTCTCTCCATTGTTAGAGAATGATATTTGGAAACACTCCAGAAAATGTTTGCCATTGAATGATCCTTCAGTCAAATTGCATATTTGTAATTTCAGACTGTGCCTGTCTTATAGTCAAAAATATATATACCCAGAGAATCTGTTGAATATTCCTCAAAAAAGTTGTGCCTACTGGAATCGGCAAGTCTTCCAAACCAAGATTGTTTTGACATGCACTCTATTGGCTCATCTCTGTCAGGTCTTTTTTCAAGTTTCTAATGCCAAGTCCTTTGCTGTAGCTTTACTTTTTTTAAACCAGATTTTACTGCTATTGATAAAGCTGTGGTTTAAAAAAAAAAAAAAATTGCACTCAAATTTGCTACCCACTAAAAAAAAAAAAAAAACACAGACTCTGACTGCATCGTTTCCGGCTGGGGATCGACGGACCCGTACGGGATCGAAGACGCCTCCCGCCTCCAATACGCCAAACTGAAAATCGTGCCGGACTCCCGATGCCAAGAGAGACTCACTGTGTTCCGTCGCGTCTACGGACAATCCTTCAGCAAGGACCTGCACCTTTGCGCTGCCGTGGAATCTGGACTGGCCAATGCCTGCTTCGGCGACTCTGGCGGCCCCTTCGTGTGTCCCACTCGACGGAATGCGACCTTCCTGGCCGGGGTCGTTTCGTGGGGACCCGAGGTCTGCGGGTCATCGGTCATACCCGTGGTCTTCACGGATGTGAGGGCGTACTTGCCGTGGATAGTGAGGACAGTGGCAGACTTGCACCAGGCCCAGCAGCGAATGATGAATTCTACCTGATGACGAAGCGTCAGTGCTTGATGGTGCAAGGAGGGGGGTGTTTCTTGAATGTTCTCAGAGTTGACATGAAAACCGCTGTGGTGAAACATTTAAACTTGTTTTCATACAGTATATTCGTGTGCCTATAGTGTAAATGAAGCGTACGGAAAATATTCGTCGCGATAAATAAGGGTGTTCTGAGCAGAAAATTACTTATTGAAGATCATGATCTTCATCAAAAAGAGGTTTGCTTCGTCTGGAACAAGTGCAAAAATGAATTTACAACCGTCCAGGATTTTCCATCAGTAAAACTTGCATTTCATGAAGTTAAAAAAGGTTCCTTTCTCGTATTTGTTCAAATGATAAATATTCAAGAGACACTTACGCTCTGGAGAAGTTATCCGATTAAATTTTCCCTGAGGTTACTATTAATGCCTTCTGCAATTTCATGGGTATTAATCCGGTTCTCATTTTTTTTATTTAAAAAAATCTTCTCGAAGATTTTTAAAATTTGCTCGCCCCTTTATTTTTTTCCCATCCAACGGTTTTCAAAGAATATTTGAATACATTTTTTCTTTATTGCATATATCCATCTTATTGTGAACTCTGAGATCATTTCCCAATTGGTTGCAGTCCTGTAAAATGGGAGAGCACAAGAGCTAGATGGCAAAGAGCCTCTAGCAAGTTGCTATATTTTCTGCTTGGGAAAATCATATTTTAAGCTTGGCTTAGCTTTGAAGTGGTTGAAAACCATTGGAAGAAACATGAATTTCAATTTTTGTTGTAGACACAGAAGGGTGTTCACAAGGATTAGGATCTGTATTTGGTTCACATGTTGGTTTAAAAAAAATACAAGTGTATTTGGGCAAACTGTGAGAAGACATGTTATTTTTTAAGTTGTTGTAATAAAAAAAGAATGTTGCATGCTTCATCTTGAACATTATTATTACAAGTTTTGAAGATTTAGAGCATGTGAACTTGATTGGATGGATTTTTGCATTTGGCTTAATTTGTACAATTTCTTGTGGAAAGTTAGAAAATGTTAGCATTGCATGATGTACTGTATATCTTCTAATAGATGCACAAATTTTATCTGGAAAGCGTTCCAGAAGAGAAAAGTATGTACTCACAGATTGAAGTGTGGGTTTTTATAAAAGTGGCTTTCTTGTAAATGTATGCCCAAGAAAGTATTTCCAAGAAGAGAAATGAAATGTACACAAATTGGCAGGTGCGCAACCTGTTTCCAAACTCCAACAGAATTCAAAACTTTGTACAAATCTTTCACACAGTAAAAATGTTTTGCTTTGAGAGTTTTACAACACAAAGTAAGACTCTTCAAAAGTTTCCAACAAATTCCCAAATAGAGTGTCACAGTGACAGTGTCAGAGCTGTCTGATGATTCCAGTCCTTTTGCAGATCTCCTTTTATGCATTTTCCTTCCCCAATTTACCTTGAGGATTTGTTGTCAGCAACATCAAGGACTTCCACCTGATCCTGGTAAATTTGGCCCAACTGTCAAGTGGGCCAATTTTTTGGGACACGGCACATAAAAATAGTACTTTCCCCAAAAATTCAGATTTTTGGGATGAATAGAAAGAGCTAAAAAAACCGGTGAGAAAGAATTTGTCCTCTTTCAGGCAAATTTGACACAAGTTGTTTTGCATTTTTGTTTTCCTGGATGCATGTGCAGCAAGCATCAAATTCCCATGTTTTCTTGGGTAATTCTGTCCCTCTTAAAATGGAGGAACCCCTGCTGTTTTCTTAGGGAACTATCTCTCTGGTGGCTTAACTGCCACCAGATGGGTTTGCCATTTGTCTTTCAGCACACTAATCCACATTGGCATTCCCTTCCAGAAATATAATCCCCAGAGTTTTGAACTTTGGGAATGGTCAATAAATTGTGTCAAAAACATGACACAAAAGTTGACTCAGCCAGAATTCCTCATAATAGAAGCCAGGTCTCCCATAGATACCAGCCTCTAATAAACGCCAGGGCTCAAACAAAGGTAAAGGTAATCAAACTTGGGATGATGAGCAATTTTATCAGTTGTGAGCAGAAAAATGCCTGAACGTTACTGAATCACTTTTTGCAGTATTTATTGTGAAAAAAGATTCCAAAATAAGAACGGATATTGCCAAACATGATGGTATGGAACAATGAACACAATTCCCCATATTTGGTTCAATGTCATTCATATTTTTTGTTGATTCTCACAAAACTGTCTTCACTTCAGTGTCAGGAAAAAATTCAAACTTCAAGTAATTCTTGTAACGGTTTAAGGTGCCAGACCAAATTTTCAGTTAATCTCTCAATGCATTTTTTTTTTGAGCCTGAGAACCAAACCCTGGTTTGGTTCCCAGGCTCACCCAAGGACAACTTCCTCACCCCTAAAAAGGAAGAATGAAAGTGGCCAAAATCCAGCCTTCATCTCTAATCCAGAAAGTTGTAGTGGTCAACTGAAAACCACAAGTTTGTCACTCTGCATTTTGCTGCTGACCTAGTTAGATCTCCGGAGAATCTGCTCTTGTGCAAATAAATTACCAATTCAGAAATTGGTTCCAACAAGTTGTTGAATTCATTTGGAAAAGTACTTCAATGGATTGTCTTCTTACTATCTTGTCTGTGCCAATAATATACCAGTTTATACTAGGATGAAAGGTCCCAGCCGCAGCCAGGCTGTTTAACTGTGTTATTATTTCTGCTAATTGCAAAGGTCTTGTCTCGAATTTCTTCAGGTTTCAGAGAATTTCAAATCTTCAGAAATAAATCTTATCTTTTCCACCTTTTGTGTAGAGGAAACAGTTTTCCCTCACACTCAGTAAACCACTCGATTATATACATGTATTTATTTCTATGGTGCGAAGATCTCAAACATGGACCTAAATTAGATTATTCTTGAATCTATTACTGTGCTCTCCAACAGTTGGCAGCATTGTTCACAAACGTCGACCGTTTCTACATCGGACTTCGTCGCTTTCCAACATCAGCAACAACAACAACCACAAACTCAAGTACAGGAATCCGAAACCAGGAATTCGGCTGGGGTCTGCAAACAACAAACTTTACAGCTTGGGCAGACGGCGAACCCAACGACCACGGAGCTCAGGAAAGCTGTGCCACGCTTCGACTCTCTGATGGTAAAAAAAATGCACCAAAAATGTATTGTTTAGGCCGAATTAATTGAAGGAATGCGTCAAACATATTCCACGTTAAGTGATCCAAACATATGAGAAAAAAATGTGATTTAGTTGACGCAGAGCATAATTTTTTCCACGAGAAAAAGAAGTGTCCTGCCCTTCGAGAAGGATTCCCGAATTTCTGGGATTACTCATTTACATAATGTTTTTTTCGTTTGAATAATTTTCCCTACGTGGAAAATTTTGTGGCGGGGAATTTTTTTTAAAATCTCAGTCCTGTTCACGAAAAAATTTCGTCTGTTTCCTTGAAAAAAAAAAACTTCTGCCTGCAAATATCAATACCGGGAAGAATTTTTATTCGTTTTCGGTTATGATCTCTCGAATATCGAAAGCAAGCGCGAAGAAACCGTCAGAAAAAATGATAACTATAATATCTGTGTTTATTATGCACAGAGAAAAACTGTATTCAATTGTTTGAATAAATCCTGCAAAATCCCCTCCTTCGTCATCAGGACACTGGAATGACGAGAATTGCGGAGTAGCTGCTCCATTTGTATGCCAGGCGTCGGTGACCCAACGAGGTCAGCGCAACCCCGGAATGAACCACCGACAAGTGCACGAATCCCCGAAGACGAATGGTTTCCACTGCGACGTTGGTTGGATACAATGGAGAAGCCATTGCTACAAACTTTTTCCGCCGTCAGAGGATTTCAAGGCAGGTGGATTTATTCTTGTGGGCGTGCGAAAAATACTGTAATAATAAATGGACAAAAAGAAACGATTGATGCAGTTTTACAAGATCGGCACATTTAAGGAAATCTGCCTGACCCGGGGAAAATTACAGTAAAATGTACCTTGAATTGACTTTTCTTCCAATCAAAAATATGTGCGTTGGTTTAAAAGTTTCAGCCCATTTCGATTCACCATCTGGTTACTGCACTTTTTTGTTTCTGAATGTACATATTTTTTTAATACTGCGATATATAAAATCCTAAATCACGTATTAACGCAATAAAAATGAATAACGCATGTGAAAATGAATTCAGTACCAAAATAAAATTGAATCAGGTACCTTGAGTCTTCTTTTATTTTGAAAGAAGTCTCCTTTTATCAAACCACATAAAAACTACAGTAATACAGTATTACTCGGGTCATTTGCAGGGTTCATTAGCCCGTAGAATCAAGTACTGTAATTTGAAAGGCATTTTTAATGTTATTGATTTATGCTAACAAGGCTTTTTTGCAATACTGAAATAATTTCAAAGAACAGAAATGAGAAATACCAACGATGACTTAGCAATATCAAGCTAATATCAATCACAGCAGTAAATGCACGTACTATATTGGCTCGAAATAAAGTCAGTTGGCTGCTTTTTGACTCAACGTATCGACAGTTCATGAAAACGAGTACTTTTTCAAGATCAATTCAGTTCTGCTGATTGGACGAAAAAATCAATATTGGTCTGTTCCACTTGAGAAAAAAAAGAGCAGTTGACTGTCGCATCAGGTCGAGAACGCTGACGAACTTTGCAATGCACGTATAATATCGAACCTTCCTTCGAGTACTGTATTTATATATTCACGATTAATTTACCTGAAGTAAAAATTGAGACCCTCGTGCAGTTCACACCGCAATATTTTCTAGATATACCCTTTCTTGTCTCTAAAATCGCATGATACCCCCGCCGGCATTCAAGAACCCGTATCATCCCCAGCAATCGTACCCCAAGTATCTTGACCAATATCCACTCAACAGGATCCGGATAATGCCAAAGCCGGAAGACATTCCTCGATGAACACTGCTTTATCTCCCAACAACGAGAGTTTCATCCGGTCGGAAGTTCCTGAGGAAATCAGCACTAGGGTGAATCAATCCACAGCAATCGACGATGAGATCACGTATTGGGAGCACGTTCGGGACTCGTGTCGGCGTTTCATCGGGGGCGATTTATTGTCGATCCACAGCTCCAAAGAAAAAGGTAATAATGTTATTAAACGCATTTTTTTTTTATTCACTTGCTTGAAATTTCTATTAATACGAGCCTACATTCATAGCGTCTTGTTTACGTCTACGTTATTAGCTGGGTTGTTTTCCAAAGAGAAATACCGATTATTTTTCTTCAATAAGAAGTGATACGTCTGTATATATAGTCAAGAATTAGTATTCATGCTTATGAATAATGCGCTTATTATTATTCAAAATAAGCTTATTATTAATCAAAATAAGCTTCTTATTCATGTCTGTATATATATAGGCAGGAATAGCAACCGGAATCTCAAAAATTGAGCGAATGTTAAATTTTGTAAACTTATTGAGATGAAATTGTCCGATCATGAAGGCTGATTTGACAAAGATACTACAAGAGTTTTCCAATGAGCTCATTGGAAAACTCGGAATATACTGATATACTGTATTCCGATGTTCTTGAGGTTTTCTGCTTTGGCCTGTTGAGTTAGAAAATTATAGAGCATGACTCTAAAGCATTAAAACCACTATGAGATCTAACAAAAACTTTGAAAGGAACCATATTCTTATTTTCTGAGGATCGTCAAAGCTACTTTTTCATTAAAACCGCAATTTTTTGAATGTTTCCTTGTGTCATCTGCTGGACATTGTCCAAAAGCGTGATTTAAAAATCATTATAAATAATTATATACTACTGTATTATATTTCTGTTGCTCGTAAAACATGCGCAAACATTTGCCATGCAAATATTTTTCAGTGTAAAAAGTGGATGTAATGTAAACTGCTCGCCTTCATTCTTTTTTTTTCTTATTTGTATGCGGGAATAAAAGAAAAATTATGTGGCAGATTGTTAGGAAATTACGGTATCAAATCATCTGCAAAAAAATATATATAAATCGATTCTTCAAATAAAACTTCTACAAAGGAAGCTAAATGACAAAAAATCCTGACCCACAGTCTTTTGCAGTTCGGAATTCGCTCAGAACAGGTGATGCGAATTGGAAAAGGAGAAATGACCCATGATACATTCCGAGCTGTTTCTTAAAAGCAGAAAAACTTAATCTGCATATAAACTATTCATCGAATAAAACTTCTGCAAAGAAAAATCCAACTGTCAAAAAAACCCATAAACTCACGATCTTTCGCTGCTGGTCGCAACTCATCAGAATAGATTATACGAAATGGAAGAGAAACATGTTCCATGATACATTCCCAACTATTTTTCAATTCTGCATACCAATAACGAATGGCCGCAAAATTTTAATCGTCGACTCCT